TTTTTTTTTTTTTTTCTTTTTGATGTCTTTTCCTTTGTAATGTACGAAATCAATTTGTATTATGTGAGCGTAGAATAATAAAAAGTGGAGTCTTTTTGTTTCTAATCGATAAAATGAAAGATTTCTGTTGTTTGTTACGTTACAGGTAAATTGATCAAGTGTGTATTAGTTTACGGCAAACGTAGGATGTGTTACGTTATGCAACAGTAAAATTGCTCTTTTACAGTTCAAAAGTATAGTTTCAAAACGATGTTGATGAAAAGATCAATTTTCCGTTTTTATCATTTTTTGGTCAGGCGAGTTGTGTGAAGGGACTTTGAACAACAGCCGAATGAAAAGTTTGTTCAGGGCTTGATCAAAATCAGTATGCTCCCCAATCAATTTTATTTGCGGCGGTTTCGTTTTTTTTTTTTTTGAGGAAAATTATTTCTATAGCTTTATTGTTGTTTCATTTAGATTTCTATTGGGAACGTTGGCTTTTTAAGTTTTATCGAAGTGTTTTTGATATTATGGTTGGTTTTTTGTTATTGCTGGAAGTTTCTGGTATACAATGGCGAGTGCAGACGGTATAATAACCTTTCATTATGATTCACTTAAAAGATTTCAGGTTTTATTTGTTTACTGCTTTGCTTGGTAATTTTTTGATAAACTGTGTAAACGTTTATGTTTCTAAATCATTCCTTTTTTACAATCTCGGTTTTTTATGAAATGAATCTAAATAATACAAATTACCGGCAGCACATTTCCCCTTTGTCTTCGTCACTGAAGCCATGCGGAGTTCATTATATATATTTTTGTTTCCGGTTAGCTCTGCATTTCTTTTTGTTTTGTAAGCTAAACTTTAGTAGGATGGTTTTTAATTTTGTCTTTATGCTTATTGTTGCTTTTTTAGTAAAAGTAAATAACTGTTGTTCGTAGGGAGTTAGTTTAATTCTGACTGCATTTTTTTTTTCTTGTGCATCTCTTCTATAATATATTCATAGATGAATTTTTTGGCCGGCTAGCAAGGCTAGTAATTCTTTTTAGAAAAATAATAAATTGGTAATCCCGCACAGTTTGATCCTCTTCATTATGGTTGTTGAGTGTCTTTAATACACCGATTTAGTTGCGGTGTTTAACGGAATATCTAAAAATTATTTGTTTTTGATGCGTTTTGTGAATTTATTCATTTGAGCCAGGTCATGGCTGTGTTTTTTGTAACTTTTATTATGAGAACGAGACGTACCACTTTTAACAGACGAAGAATTTTTTTCTATGATTTTTCAGGTATGGAGAATGACAGACGGGCAGGAATGCGTAATTGGTCAGTTGAAGCTCGTGATCGGCAGGTTCATGCCGTTAGCCCAATGCATTTGCAAGAAAGTCGCCTGATTAATTCGCTGTTGAACGAAGCGCAAAATATATCAAAATCAAATAACAAAATAAATACGCAAAGTGAGTCCAATTTTTAGTTGTTTACTTGTAATGGAAAGAATTGCTTCTCTGCTCTCATTGTAGCTTAATGATGTTGTCTTTAAATGCCTTTGAACGATCCCTCCTCATACGTGTGCGTAAGATGTTTGAGACCCTTTAGACCTCGTTTCAGCAATAATTTTCTACTTAAGTTTTCAAATCCGACTTTGCTTAGGTTTTATTTTTGATGCAACTTGGTCATTTATGGAACATGTAACTCTTGAAATCTCAGGAGTTAAATGCTTCTGAATGTATAGAATAAAAATATGGTATTTTTAGTTTGGTGCCCCCATTTTCTTTCAGCCAATGAAACTAATCAATAGCGATCTCGATAAGTGTGCCTCTGTACTTTCAAACCAACAGTAACAATGGGGCCACCAAACTGAAACAGGGCTAGAAATATGAGGAATTAGGTCTTAATAGAGAGGAATTTTCCAATAACATTTTTGTTTTGGAAAATTTATCAGTGAGTTTTAAACTTCTGTTTAATCATAAAAATCGTTTATGCAGAACATTGTTGAGGTAATGGATGCGAGCCTGATAAAGGAAACCCTTCTGAATTACAGAAGATGCTTGAGAAATACCAAACTACTGTTTTACATAAACAGCAGCAGCAGCATCAGCAAAACCAGCAAGAGCAGCAGCAGTTACAACAAAGGATTGGAAATAGTCAAAATTCACATGAAATCATCAGGTAAACACCTGTAATTTATCTACAATTTTTCGAAAGTTTGGGGACGTTACCTACTCTAAATTTAGTTTTTCGGTTTGCATATTCCTCTTTTTCTCTACTGCGGACTTGTTGCAACGGATTTCTTAAGCAGCGTCTAGTTTAATTTATTTAAAATTTTTTTCGTTTTTGAAATAAAAGCGCTGGTTTCCATTGACTCTTTTATCAAGCAAGTTATGTTGGGTTATACAACCCACCTTTTTGGCCCAATAAAATTTGATTACTGAAAGCTCTAGATAGGGATTGATATTAAAAAATGATTCATCCTTTAAGCAAATTATGTTTTCTTATCAAGCTTTTCTGACAATCGTTTGTTCGGGTTAAGCAATTAATTTGTTGAGTGCGTTAGAAAAGTACCAATAAAAATTTGCCAAAAGGAATAGATGACTCTTACTTGGTTTCATTTTTGATTAGTATCATCTCACTTTCTGGGAAATGTAGTCCAAGTATTTATTAATTAAGGTGTCTTACAGAACCCCAATGTCAAAAGAGAGTAAAAAGTTCGAGGAAGGTGGAATGGGTGGAACATAGTCTATTTTTTGAAGCCACAACATTGCTGCTTAATTTTTTACACCAGCTTTATGAATATGAGAAGAGGTTCCATTTTTTAGACATTATCGCCCTTCTAAAGTTCTTGTCTACTTTTCAAATGATCTATAGTGCTTAGAATACGTACTCATGACATCAGCAAAAAAAAAACTTAATTTTTTGTTATTGCAAATGTCGCTTCTTATACTAAAAAATGCTTCAAAAAACGGTTCAACAGGAGTTGCCAAACATTTTTACATTTTGCGGGAAGTCATGATAAAAGATAAATTTAAATTTAGATTATGGGGTAGTGTTTTTTCGTCGTTGAAGCTTTTCTCTTAATGTTCTATGAAACGCTATTTTATAGTGCTTTGTTGTTGACGTGTTTCTTCGTGTGTTCCCTTATCTTATTAATGATGGTTGGGCTGTTTTCACTTAAGGGTTTTTATTTTGTAATAGAATGTTTCCTTAAAATTTAAAGAAAGAAAGAAACACTTTCAATATTGAAAACTTTTCGCAAAAGTATTCCGGAGTCGTTTATATTAGCTGTTTGATTTTTTTCATTATTTAGAAGCTTTGGAAGTGCGTCACCTGCTGTACAGATACATAATACTCAAATGAGCCATTCCCAACCATGCCTCGTCACTGCCCTTAGTGAAAAAGTTGGAGTGTAAGTTTGTATTTTTAAGGCAAAAGATTATTGCGTCAAAACTGGTCATAATCAATTGTTTGGAAGTTACTGTTTTGCTGATTTTAACTGTCATTGTTGTTATTACCTTTTTTATGTTAATTAATGGGGAATAAGATGAAGTAAGAAAAAAGGCTAGTTCAGAAAAAAACGTTTTATTTTAACGGCATTTTTGAACAGGAGGGAGATATTGTTGGCTTAATAGGCTTTGGAAGCCTAAAAAGAAAACATGTTGCCGGATGATTGTATGTTCTCTTTCTTGTGTTTTAGCACAAAATTCGAGTCTTGATCCTAACCAGTTTCAGTTTGTAAAAGCTAAGATGTACGATCTTGAGTATTCTAATCGAAGTTCTCAATTTTTCGGAATCCCCTATCTTTAAATTCTTTCCATGAATAGTGACTGGCGTAGCAGGCGATTTTAATTCGTCTGATATGCTCACTCTCTTTATTTGGATGAGATTTATTCGTGGCGTTTTTGCTGTGCTACAGTCTAGTGTTTTAATGATCAGAACGTTTGCGTGTGTCGCAGTAATATTTCTCAGACAGCTGTAGCATTGCTGTAATGGGGATAAAGTGTAGCAGCTGTTTATGAAGGGAGATTGAGAGACGATATACGTATTTTCCGAAAAAAGGATGTACGATATTTCGCATTTTTTTAAAATTCTAATTTTAGTAGATTACTGCGCAAAAAGTAGAAGATGTGTTAGTGGAATGTGACTGGAAGTTAATAATTCTCTATCTATTTTTGGGACGAGAAAGGTAAATCTAGCAATTGCTTATACCGCTCACTTATTTTTGAGGTTTACTTAAGGGGGATTCTGGATTACGCAACACTATGGTCTCTGAAATATTCAAGAGTAGTTACGGAGAGTAAAGGGAATGAGGGAAATTGCAGACGATCTAATGATAGAAATAGAGTACACGGGTTGATTGACAGATGAAGATGTTGTTAAAAAGATAGGGGAAATAGACCGAAATGAGAACTTTAAGTTCAGTAGATTCACAAGTTTTAATAGTTGAGTACTTAAGGTCTTTCAATTTATTGGTTTTATGCTAGGAAAAATTCCACTAAATTTTAAATTAGAGCTGGGTGGAAGTTAAAGACTACTTTTTGTTTATCCTTTTATTTCTCTGCCTTCCTGATAAAGATTTTGCTCAAGTGATTTAAAGATTGCTGAGGCACCATTTTATTACATGCATAATCATTATCACGACCTTTACTGCTCATTATTGAGTGTAAATTTCAGTCCTGGTGCTTCTGCGCCCCCATCATATCCCCAGGCGTCGTCTTCCTTTGATTCTTCGAAAGTTCGAGAAACTGCAAATTTTAAAACACAGCTTGCTTCAACGCAAAGGATACTGGGCTTATTACACGAAAAAAATGCTGCGCTAAAGCAGCAGTGCGATTATTTAAATAAAAAAGCTCTTCGACTTCAGAAGGTATCCTCTGCAGTTAAGTAACACTGTATTATTGTAAATTTTTTTCACAGTTTTTTGGTGCTAGGTTTTATGTTTTGATTGTATTTGGGGCAGTGAGACATCAGATTTACTGCTAAGATCTGCTGTTTTTATCGGAGAACCTTCATAAGTTACTATGCGTTACTCTAGCTGGAAGCTGTGTGCAAAACCATAGAGAATGAATATGAAAACCTAACGGCTCAGAAAGAACGGCAGGAAGAGCTGGAAAAGGCTCATCGAGCGAAAATGGAAGCACAGCTTGCCAAGTAGTTTTTAAATATTTGAAAGTGGGAGGAGGCAGGTTGTAATTATGTGCTGAGAGGAAACCTTATTGTTTTGCCGTTTTTTTTTTTGGTAAGAAATTACCGTTAATTCTTTTTAGACTGTATAACGAAAATAAAATGTTACATCAACGAGTAGAAGAGCTTGGACAGTGGCTAAGAATGGATCATCCTAATGAGCAAGTCTTAAGAGTTATAAACGAAATGATCCCGCAAAGTAAAATTTTGTTATTAGATATTTGATAGCATTGAGATCTTATAATGGACTGTGTTGACAGTCCATCGATTGACGTTCCTCATCTCCACTTCTCTCATTGAAATTTGGAATTACTGTGCTCGTAAAAATTATTTTTGCGTGTTATATTTTTTTAGAAAAACCATTTCAGATGAAGAACTTCGAAAGTGCAAAGAACGGCAGAGAATGGATATTGAAGCTTTAGAAGTAACGTTAAAGGATCAGAGAAACCATATACAGGTTGAAATTTTAGTTTAAGTAGTGCTGGATCCTCATTTTGTGAAAATTTTGCTTTTTTTCCTTATTTTAAAACAACTTGTTTCCCAGGTTTTATTTTTATGCCTCTCATTTTTGCGATTATTTTAGATATTAGAAAAAGCTTTGACGAATGCTCAGGAGAAGGTTTGGAGAAAGGAGAAGGAGGTTAATGAACTGAGCGGAAACGTTCAAAAAGCTTTTTCTTTACAGAAAGCCCTTGATGTAATTTTTATTTTCTCATGAGATATGTTTTACAAGAAGGTAGATTGAACATTTCTCAGCGATACTTCTCTCTTTTCGTTTTGATGTAGGTTTTATAAATGCTATTCTGTCCTTAGAAAATGAAAGGTGAGATGCAAGCTCGAGAGGCAGAGTGGAATCGCCAAAGGACACAGTTAGAAATGGAGAACGCGCAGCTGAAAATGCAGTTAACAAAAGAGTGTGTTCTGTTAGGTGTTAAGAAGGGGACGATTGCGCGAAGCCCTGATAATGACGAGTTACTGCAGCTTAAGAAAACTCTTCATGCCAGTGGTAATTGACGCATTTTTTTTGAAATTTCCTTTTTCCATAATTCAAAAAGGAATCCATTGCATAGTGAATTCATCAATGAAAAAGCATTGTGTTTTTTAAAGTTACAGAAAACAGAGAAATAGTGAGGTTACAGATGCGAGGGTAACTGAGCTGAAAAAGAAGATCGCTGAAATGGAATCTAAACATCTCGAGGAGCTTCAGCGAAGGGCAACGCAGATTGATGCTTTGTAAGTTATAACGGTGGAGTGATAAAGACTGAAAATTTGAACTTCACTTCCTCAGTTTGAACCTTTGTTCCACACCCGAGGAGGATGTGTTTTAGGACAACGAAAGTAAAGGAGCTCGAAGAAGAAATTACGGATAAAGATGAAAAAGTTGCTGAGTTAGAGAAAGAAAATGAATTACTCAATGAAAAGTTGGAAAATGAAAAGAAGAATTCGAAGAAGCGGCTAACAAAGTTGGAGAAGGAACTGGAAAGAACTCGGAACAGCGATGAAAGAAGGTAGCTTTGAATTTGGAAACTGTGTTTGAATGTTTGTGCATTGAATAATTCGAGTTATATTTTTTTGGACCATTTGCTTTTGAAGATTTCGTGAAGACATGGCCAAAATGGAGGAAATGAGATTGAAGATTGCTGATCGCCGATGCTTTACAGCCGATCGACTGCGTTGCAGGTTTCATTTTATTACCTTACATTTTTAATAATTTGAGCAAGGTCGGAGAGTTAAAACTTCTGTAGTATACTTTGAACAATGTACTATCAAAAAAAAAGTAAAATGGAATAGTCAAAACCAATTGCATAGTCAAAAGGATGCTAACAGACTCCCAAGAGAAGTTGATTTACGGAAACATGGTGATTAAAAAAGCACTACAGATTGTTTTTACGATATGTCTACTGTCATCTCAAAAGATTTAGAATTAATGTATTTCACAATAAAATATTGGAATCTCTTGCTGATTTGCTTCACTTTTATGGAGGCCGGCAGCTGTTGACATGAGATAATTTTTAATTTTTTTGAAGCTCTTGGTATTTTTCTCTACGATAGTGATTTGGTAGGACATGAGCGAAGTAGAGGTTTTGTAAAGATTCGCAACAAATCATATTTTTATTTATAAATACAACTGTTGTTACATGTTTGCTTCGTAAACAACGTGTAGTGCAGTTTTTATACAGAGGCTTTTGAAAAGAGCTTTCGGGGTTGAAGAGCGATTTATTTCTGATTAATGCTTGTTCCACAGGTTTGGTCTGCTTATTAAGAGGGTTGCACTTCTAGTGCAAATTTTGCAGGTATGATGAATGCTGAAGTGGTTGTTAAGCTGCCGGTTTTTTTCTCCTATAATTAAAAGATGCAGTCTAATTGTGCATTTTGTAATTTATTGAAGGTTTTTTTAATGCTGGGAAGTGTTATTTTGTTATCAGATGTTCATTGAAGTTACAATGATATAAATATTTTTTAGGATTAACAGTCATTGTCGCACTTCGTCTGGCAGTTTTGGAGTATGTCAAAGTCATGCCCGAACTCACTCAGCTGCTGCGTTGATACCTGGTTCTGTACCTATTAGCTTAGCAAGTACGAGTTCATCCCCTCCTGAGGGTCCATTAGATCTGTCGAGTAGCAGTACTAGCGCTTTGAAAAGAGATTCTGACGGTCTCTTAAGCTTTGACGACGTTGCAATAAACCCATCTTCAGTGACTGATTTGTCCACTCGACGGATGAGGCATATCAGGAGGCCAAAATGTTGCGTGCCTATAGTGCAAGATAATCGCCTTATATCTTCTTTGTATTCTTTAAATCTGGAAGAAACTTCGATGGATGAGTCGGATAAAGAAAGTGTCAAAGATAGTGGGATTGTGAAGGATGAGGAGTTTCAGAAATCTGCAGAGGAAACCTGGGATGTGTGATTAATCGCGTTTTTTCTTATATAAATTTTTATTTCTTTTAAGTTTTTGATTAGAGAATACTTGCTGTTTGTATTTATAATTCTGTATAGAGTTGTTTAGACTAACTGTTTTAATTTGAAGAAAGTGAAGTACTAACACTGTCATTTTGGAGAGGTTAGATTTTTAATGATTATCCGCTTATTTTTCATTTGTAGCGGATCACACTTTTCTGCTAGTGTTGCCAAACTAATGACCTTTTCTTGCAAACGTCTCAGTAATAATATTTATTTAGATTCTCAGTTTACAGTTCTTTTAGTATGAAATATTGTGGTACGCAACTATCTACGGTCACTTCCTTGCGACATATATATTTGTTATATTGTTTCAGCTATGTTTAATAGTGACAGTTCGAATTTGGAACCTCATTCCTTTCTGTGCTTGACTAGTTCAACATTCAACGTGATGTAGAGATGTTTTGTAGTTTTGAATTGGACGTACATGTTAAATACGGTTATTGTAACTTGACTAAATTTTTTTGAAATTATCCATCCGGTAAAACGGTAATGATTGTTAAACATTAGTTACGACTTCGTTTTTTTGTTGATATCATGCAGTAAAGTGAGAGGCCGAGTTGTTGGTTGTGTTTGGTTGTCGTTTGCTAGAGGTTCGCATTTTTTGACTTCTCGGATCTATTCGTATTGCTCAAAGTTTGTATTACTTTCTCCTTCTGTCATTTGAAACTGATGCTCTAATTCTGCCTTGTGATTGTTATTCAGTGCCTTAACGTCTCATTTCTTGATAGGAATTTGTCTTCGTGCTGGTGTACTCTTAATATTGAGTTTAGTTGCATTATTGTCTTACTCAGCATTTAAACGGGTGCGTAAAAGTAGAAATTTATATCAAAATTCTGTTATGGTTATTCAGATCTGATTTTTTGCTTGCAAATTACTCGAAACATAATAGCTTAAAAGCATAATAAAACTTGAATTGGTATTCTTAATCAAGTGCATTAAGACATGGAAGGAAAAGAGCTTAGTTTTAGGAAATTTGTTATCATTGAGGCTAAAAATGGTTGAGAAAAGCTGTGGGTAGGGCTTGCTGCTTTTATAACAGTGATGAATGTGCGTTTACGGGTGTTTGTTTGGTGTTTCCGTGAGGGTGTGGCTACTTTGAACTCGTCATGATGGAAGCCTTTCATGGGTATTACAGCTGTAGAATTATTCAGTGTTGACAGAATGGATTAGCATTCTCTATTGAAAACAAGATGGGTTTTTAGCCAGAGTTACCTGTGTTTAAATTTTCCAATATTTGCTTCCTGAAACTACTTTTTATTGCCGCCTATCTACGGATAGGCGGTGTTGAACTGTGTACTTTTTTAATCTGCAACTCAGGTTCCCTATTAAATTGACGACTTCTTAGGCCAAGTTACCCTTCTTCAAATTGCAAGTCGCGCCAATTTCGACGGCGATCTACTTCACTTCAAAACTGTGTATTTCAGAAGTACAAACACAGCTTAGGTAGCTTCTAGCCCTGTACTTTACTGGTTTTTAATAACAAACTCCTCACCAACTACACAAAACTGAAGAATAGAAAAAGTAATATTCAAAAGGAATGAAAAAAAAAGTGCTGTTGTTCAACAGTCAAATTACCATATCAATTGAATTTTCCTGCTTAGAAACCCACCAGTAATTGCAAGTCTGTATTTACGAGCGGCCTCTGCACAACCCAAACTCTCGGTACCAGCCCTTGTGAGCGCTATCAGTTTCACAGGTCACTTAATCGTCGAAGCGGATCCTGCGTG